AGTAACAACAGTTTAAAAAGAACGATTATTTGTTTTTAAATGCATTTTGAAATTTATATTTATTCGAAGTTATATATTAAAATTCAAATAAACTTTTTCTGAGAGTTGGAGATTAACGACCGTTCGAAACCAACGAATTGTCTAACGGTAAAAGTTTAAAGCTGTATCGCAGGAACAGTTGTTGCTTTTGCAACGAACAACTGGCCTCCTAGTATTAATAGAATTAATCAAAGTACTAGAAATAGTCGGATATCACAGTTTTTGACAACGGGAAACGAAAATATTGATATAAACAATTGATTTGAACAGCAACAAGTTAACTTTTCGCCTTCGAAAATCCTATTTATCTTTATCTTATCGAATGAATCTAAATTTAACATTGTGTAGCGATAAATGCAAAGAAGCTCTTAATTAATGGTTTATGCTTTTCGTTACTGTTTAATCCAACTTCGATTAATTAAGTATTCACTCTACACAAAAAATATTTATATAAAATTCAACAATAATAATAGTAAATATTTATTATGTAACTCTGACGAATTTTCACATTTTCACTATGTTATTAAAATGTATGAAACTTGATAGTTTACGTGATCAATATGAAATTGTTCGTACATGCAATGCCAAATCGCAACGTGATCTTCTAACGAGTTTAAACGATATTAATAAAAAGGCTTTATATAAATTTTATAAATAATTTGTTCAAATAATGGATATATACATATATATATCCATTAACTATATATATATATATATATATAACTTATTTTCTAAATAAAAATAATTTTAGTTACAGCAAATAATTTCAAATGATAAATTGTTTAATTCAATCTGAATAAGTTAAGTAATTCAGATAATATGTAAGTAAGAGAATGCAAATTTCTAATCCCTTTATTACTGTATAATAATAGGAATGGATAGAAACTGAAATGAATTTTCAGTTTCTATCCATTCCTATCATTTAATAAAGTTTCTATCCATTCCAAGAAGTGCATCTTGTTCAAGAAACATTCCACAACCATATACTATATAATAACTAAAAAAACACTCAAAAACAAACTAAGACTATTAATGCAATATAATCAACAAGAAGACAAATTATACAGACAATGTTAGCAATAGAGGAAAATTTTGAATTACTACAAGATGAGATCAAAATTATTTATTAATCTCAAAAACATTTAAGAGTAATTTTTATCAAATTTTACTTTAGCAAGAATAAAAAGGATAGTTAATCAATCCACTCTAAAATTATCATCATCATTATAAATTATATATTAATGCATGTTTAAATTTTCAAAATTAAATGAAAATTGTCTATTCAATTCATTTAAACTCCTTTCTCATTGGTATTTACCAACTAGAAAGTTAAGAAGTCTCCATTGTAGGAGTTCAAAAAGCAATCATAAATTTAAGAAAATCTTTTTTATCAATTTCTCGCTAATGCAGTTTTAATATTATTGGGCGTATGTTTGACAAAATAGCTCACAAAATATTCCTTAATTAGAAACACAATGTTTTCAATTAAATTTTTTTTTCTGACACTCCAACAGAAAACCTTGCTTTGTTCTTTCAAATCACAACGAGAAGTTTTCAATACATTTTGGCTGGCATAGCCATCTTTAATCCTTTAATCATTAATTAAATGCTTAAATTACATAAATACTTTTATTAGTTACTTAAATGCATTAAACTCCACAATTTTAAAACATTCTTATAATAAATTATTCAGATAAAAAAGCCTGATTTTATCTCCTTATAATCAGTAAGTTAGCAATTACCAAATAAATCTTGAAATGTTTTATAAGTAAGTTAAGAAAAATTATTTTTCTACCTTCTTAATAACCAATTAATATCTCTGCTAGGCAATGACAGGAAAATTTTGCAAACTGAATTCAATAATTCTGTAAAGGTGTATATAAAGAATAAAAAATCAAATCACAATTTCTAAGTAATCCATTCTATTTTTCTATTTAATATGTAAGTAGTACTATTAAAACTAGTAGAGAAATTAAGATTGTGTTTATGAAAATTTAAGAAAAAGTGAAATTAATTGTTTAGATTAATCGTTAATATCAGAATGAAAAAAAATTAAGAGAACAGCACATAACAAATATGAACTAGACTTACAAAATGCTGATATTTCTGTAAATAAATTATATATAATTTTTATTCAAAATTTACTAATTATCATATTAAAGAAAACCATGCAATAGCTTACAAGTAACCCTTGACTAACACTATTGCAATAAGAAATTCAGAAACAGTTTTCTTTCCAAATCAAGTGCAATCATCAAAAACTATACTGAAGAAACTAAAATTATATTTATATAATAATTTCTTGCTATCATCAAGTTTATCAGCTTATTTCATCTTTTAACTTAAAATATGACTACTGTGTATATATATATATATATATGTATGTATGTATGTATGTATGTATGTATACATACATACATTTCTTATTAATAAATTTTACTTTATGGCTAATACAATTGACAAACATTTTAAGACAGTTTGTATTTCAAATATATCATGAAATTAACACTTTAAAAATATTTAATGCATCAAAGGGTTACTTTTCATATATATCAAATTAATCTTTATAAGAAAAATCCAATCCTGCATAAGTTTGTAATAGATTAAAAAGTACATTCAAAGATATCATTTACTTATTATTTTCTTTTAAAAATATTTAAACTAAAATAATACAAACCTTGGATCATTTCTGTACAATTCATCATAATATCCAAAATTATAATTATTATATCCGTATCTATATAGATCATAATAACGATAATAGGCATGAGGATCTTGTCTGTACATATCATAATTATAGCCTGAAAAAAAATCAACTTTAAATAAATCTCAATTTTATTATAATACTATTATAAATAATGTTTAATTGAAAATACTTAAATATATTAAGCTTACAAAATTCACATTTAGATTGATTTCTGTTATCAGTATGTACTGTATGCAGAATTGAAAATTTGATCCTAATACTACAAAGTATTTTTAAGACTTTTTAATAATATATCCTTGATAAATCATAAAAAAATCTGTATGTATATTTTACAATAACTTATATTCTGTTTCACAAAATTCATTATTTTTTATTTTCAATTTTTTCATGAAAATTTAAACAAATTTTTATGAAAAAAAATTATCAAGACTCAACGTATGTAACTTTATATCCATGATTTTATGTAGTGATGTGTTGTTAATACTTAATTCATTTGAAGAAAATTACTATTAAATAAAATCAATTTTAGAAAGTCATGTACAATAATTGAGCTTTTCTCAGTCATAAAACCTATTAGTATATCAAACATCCTGAAGCCCGGTAAATATATATAGATAACCAAATGATCATCTTAAATAATCAGACTATAAATCCATTATTTAATGATTAAATACTAAATAATTTGTTATTAGAGGTAGACGTTAAGCACAATTTCTTATCTAAATTAATAATTATAATTTTAATAATTTATTAAATAATTTTTCAGATCATTTGGAAGAAAAGAACTGGCCTGAAGCAAGACTTGAACCTGCAACCACTACTTGCTGTGCAGTGCACTTGCCATTTGCACCACCTGGATCCCAAGCAAGCCTTTGCTTCCAGATTAAATACATATGGAAGCAAAGGCTTGCCTAACATCTACTTCTAGTAATAAATTACTTAGTATTTAATCATTAAATAGCAGATTTATAATCTGATTATTTAAGGCAATCATTTGGTTATTTATAAAACCTATTTTTTTTAACATTTATTCAACACACATTTATTCAACACTGTAATACTGCACATAAAATTAAATATGTACTGAGATAATAATCTTAAAATAATATATATTAAAGTATGAAAAAGTAAAATTTACATCAAACTGCCAAATTTTACTAAATTAGTTGTGCTCATGATTATTAAAATGGTTCAAGTCAAAAATAGAAAAAGAATTGTATTTACTTCACAAATTATTCATAAAATTTTACAATTACATTAAAAAAAAAAAAAAAAAAAAANTAAGTTAACAATTTCTAACACTCGAAATATTTATGAAAATATAAAAATTACGTATATATATTTTAACTTATTTACTTTCTAATGCTTCAATCGCTCTTGAATGATTTATGTCCAAAGCATATAACTTAAGTGCAGAATTCTAAGATCTGGAGAGAGATAAAAGCCTTTAGATGCTATTATCTTGATAAGATCAGAGTGAATATTACAAGAAAGTAAAATAAAAAGTGAAACAAGAAGAACTTTAAAAAATATTGAAAATAGTTGGCACATACATACTTAAAATAGAAATAAAATAAATGTAGCAAAGGGATACGAAGGAAGGGAAAAAAGATAAAGACAAAATCATTTTATTGAGTAGTGAAATAATTCTAGAAACACAACACGAATACTTATAACTTTCTTCAACAATGGTCTATAAAAGCTATTTTAAACACATGTCACATTGTAAAACAATTTTTACAAACAGGGAAACATACAAAAATAGTCCAACAATATCTGTAACAATAAAGAACAGGTGTAACGATTTGAAAATGTAGAATCTTCGAAAAAATACTCCTTATAAAATACTTGAAAAAAATAATGTTTAAAATTTTATATTAAATTTCATTTTTCTGGAATATAAATTTAAAATACTTACTTCTTTTATGAGGAATTGTAATTTTTTTGTCATGTTAATGGATAGATGCAATACTTGTTTATTGGGTTACAATTTGAAAAAAAATTGTCGTCTATCTGTCCTTCTTTAATCTCGAGAACGGTGTGAGATAGATGAAAGCCGAGACCAGATATAGAAAGATTAGGGGCAGGAGGCTCGAGTAATTGTATACGAACTTCCGGTCTATACCGGAAATCACGTTATTTCAATTCAAAAATTTCCCCAGAATGGAGTTAGATGATCAACATGACTATTGTTAACAGGAAAAGCATGATGTACAGGGGAAGGATACTGCTAATTTGAAGTAAAGAGTATAAATTTTATTGGTATTACCTTACAATTGTAAAAATTAAAAAATATATCTAAATGAAAAATGAATTAGGCAAGTGAACCCTATCATTTATAATTCAACAGAGAAAACATTTCAAATCAATGAAAATAAGGTCTAAAACTGATTGAACTTCAATAAATACATAAATTTTTAAAAATAACTGATCTATAAATTGGTTATATTATTTTAGATAGCCTAATAAATAGGATTTTAACAATTTGGAGGGGTTATCACACCAAGATCGACCAATAAATAGATCAGATCTTTTGGGACAAGTCTATAATCCTTCGATGAATTGTGTCATTTGAAAGTGATATTTTACAAATGTCAGTTTCTGCTGATTCACCCATCATTCTTTTTACAATTTTACGGCAAGCAGGTAATATAATTTCTTCAGCCAAATTATGAGGTTTTAATTTAAGAGCAATTAATTCAGCCACTTCATAAAAAGCTATCTGAGCTTTTTCAGACACACTAAGTTGTTTTTCAAAAACCTTTACTTGTTTGGATCTTGCAGATAATGATTTCTGAAAGTAGCTTTTGTCTTTTGATGCAAGCGAAGGATGATTAGTGAGTGAGTGACGTTGGAGCTTGCTGGAAACCATAGCACTGTTTGACAATTTACAGTCACATACCACACACTCGGAAACAGTTTGATCATTTTCCGTTGTAGATGTAAATCCGAATTTTAATAAGTTGTCTTTATACTTATGATGAACATTACATTTTTTGGCAGAGAAAACATCTTTACTTAGACTGGGCTTGGACTCATTAGCCTGATTGCTAACATCATTATCATCATTAAACTTTCTTTTTTTAATCCATTTATCCATTTTAAGATGTTCTTTTAAAATAAAAATAATTTTGTCAAAAAATTATTAAAAACAACATATTGTATATTACTTTGAATCCGTTTTAATTAAATTTGACAACACAATATTGTGGTATTGCCCCAGAACTGTAATAGTCATGTGCATCAGTTCAGCCAGTCCCAGCTAGAGGCGTGTTTGGAAATTCTAACTGGTAACACTGCAGTAACATTCAGAATCATATGATAATGATGATTTGACACATGTATGAAAGAAAAAAAAACACAGCGTATTACAGAATATTTATGAAAAAAAGAAAAACAGGAATACAATTCAATTATCTCTTGACAAATTTATAAAAAAACATCAGAATCTAATCAATAAAAAATAAGTATTTTGAAAACTTTTTGATGTTTTTTACATTGCTCTACTTTCGTACATTTCAACTTTCANAAGAAAATGAACTTGTAGAATTTTTTTTAACAAGTATCAGAAAAAATTATCTTCATTTAGTTTATATTGTGAAATTGATAATTTTATAGCATTTGCTGGCCATTTTCCATTCTGTCTTGCCTCATCTGAAATTTGGGAGGACATGGTTTTCTGATTTTAGTCGCTTTGTGTTGTGAAAACAAAATGTTGTTTTATTTTTTATAAATTTTTAAAATTACGGCCACATTCGTCAGACGATACAATGTGTCCACCATCTTGTGCTTTAATAGAACCGCTGTATCTGCTTTGTCATCAAAGTTAATTCGGTTAGTACCACAGGATAACCGGTGATGTCATAATAGTGATTTTTAAATTAAACGTGATTGGTTATTTAGGTCACATTTTCTAAATGCCTTAATATTTACTGGCTGTTTGGAAATTGTAACACAGGTTACAATTTCCAAATGCGCCATACGAAGGTAGAACTGATTGAACTACTTGTCTGATGTCATTTATGTATGGATATTCGCAGTGGCAACACATTTCAGAAATCTCACGGAACACTAAAGTGCCGCGGCACAGTGGTTGAGAACCACTGATCTAGCCTAAAGACAAATTCAAAAGTATAAAATTTTGAATTACAATAAAAATAACTTTATTAACTAGCTAACAGTGCTCACTCTGTTTTCAAAGTTTTCTAATAAACAATTTGCAATTTGACAAAAAACTTGTTAACATAATCATCATCAATAATCAGATCAATGTAACTTTTTGAATGATCAATTTTTCAATGACTCAGTAAACATAAATCAATTAAAAGATTCACAATAATTTGATATCAGAATAAACAAAACTAAATCACAAGAATGATGCTGTAACAAACTGAATTTAAATTACCAACAAATGCAAAATATATTTTCTGAATGTTGCCATTAATACTAATGCCAGATATCAATAACGGCATCAGTAGATAGACTTTTAGGCAGCTACTGCGCGTTACGAGTCATGGGTAACTCGTAGTCTATTTCACTACAGGGCTGTACGAGGCAAATGTGACTCATGCGACTTCAATTCATTAATTAATGCATTCTATATGGCTGGTCATTGGATATACGACAAAATTGTTAATATATTTAATATAAGACACTATAATCTCTATTCCTCAGTTGTTGCCTGAGGCAAATGTCATTCATAGAGCTATCATGGGAATCAAAACTGAGGCTTTGATTTTGTAAAGTAAACTTATAGCATGGAATTACAAAAGCTATCATTGCAAATAAAATGCAAAAATAAAAACTAATTTAAAGGCTGTATACTAATTTTCATGTTTTAATATTACAGTAACTTCTCGAGTTATGACCACCTCGACTTATGACTTTGACCTTGTGGCACTCATGATGAAAAAATTTCATAAAAAAAAGTTAGAGAAATGTATCAATTTTTTTTATAGTTTTCATCAAATCATATACATATACAGGTATACCTCACCTTACGTCGGTAATTGGTTCCAGAAGAGGCAACTTAAGATGAAAGACGACATAAGTCGAATTTACTTGTCACTAGGCTAAACCACAAATACTATTCCC